GCCTTACTATAGCCTTACCATCGTGAAAAAATCCATAAAAATAAAAAGTCCCCGAAATGCACTAAAATGCAAGATTAGGTCCTAAAACATGCTGCCAAGTGATTATTTTGTGTTTTAAACTCCAAAAAGTATTTTTTATGAATATTTCAAAAATCACCCAAAACATGCCTTACTATAGCCTTACCATCGTGAAAAAATCCATAAAAATAAAAAGTCCCCGAAATGCACTAAAATGCAAGATTAGGTCCTGAAACATGCTGCCAAGTGATTATTTTGTGTTTTAAACTCCAAAAAGTATTTTTTATGAATATTTCAAAAATCACCCAAAACGCGCCTTACTATAGCCTTACCATCGTGAAAAAATCTCAAAAAATTAAAAGTCCCCGAAATGCACTAAAATGCAAGATTATGTCCTAAAACATGCTGCCAAGTGAATATTTTGTGTTTAAAAGTCCAAAAAGTATTTTTTATGAATATTTCAAAAATCACCCAAAACACGCCTTACTATAGCCTTACCATCGTGAAAAAATCTCAAAAAATTAAAAGTCCCCGAAATGCACTAAAATGCAAGATTATGTCCTAAAACATGCTGCCAAGTGAATATTTTGTGTTTAAAAGTCCAAAAAGTATTTTTTATGAATATTTCAAAAATCACCCAAAACACGCCTTACTATAGCCTTACCATCGTGAAAAAATCTCAAAAAATAAAAAGTCCCCGAAATGCACTAAAATGCAAGATTATGTCCTAAAACATGCTGCCAAGTGAATATTTTGTGTTTAAAAGTCCAAAAAGTATTTTTTATGAATATTTCAAAAATCACCCAAAACACGCCTTACTATAGCCTTACCATCGTGAAAAAATCTCAAAAAATAAAAAGTCCCCGAAATGCACTAAAATGCAAGATTATGTCCTAAAACATGCTGCCAAGTGAATATTTTGTGTCAGGTACGGGCATCGCAGGGAGCTGGCAGGACCCCAATGGAGTACTGGAGAGACTCTTTCTGGTGCAGGAAGTTTATTAACAAAGTCCAAATTAACAAAACACGAAGAACCAACAGGCATGGAACTCTCGAGGAACACGAGGAAAACACGGAAACACAGAGTAGGAAACTCACGAACACGAAGCTCTAACACAGTCACAATGATCAAACACACACCACCACAATCACACTGATCCAACACCGACAGAGTGAGGGAGAGGGGTATACAGTATATACACAGGGAACACCAGGTGACACAAGTGAAGCTAATTACCAAACAGGTGAGTGTGATCCCATGATTACCCCACAAAGAACACAGAAAAACACGGAAACAGACAGACATGACAGTAAATGATTTTTACTTGTTAAAATAAAAAGTAATGAGATATTTTAAGTTTCTCTACTGCAGAGGTTTTATATGCAGTTCTTTTGTTAACTAATCTTTACTAACATGTAATATGAGGCCAGTCTTATATAAAAACTTAGCAAAATTTCACAATAATAATTTTCATATAATGAACTAATAGTATTTATATTTATTTATATATATATATTTATATTTTAAACTGCACAGTCCAACAATGTCTGGTAACAATGTATTGATGAGACTTTCTGTGATGGTGACAGTAAAGTATTCGTTCAGCCTACTTCCTGTTCTTGTTTACAGTATTACATTAGTCTTACTGTTTGTTGCAGCAGCAGAGCATAGTCCTTCTTCTGTTTTTTTCCCCAACAAACTGATGACATAAAAAAAGAGCTTGGGCTTTTCACACCATCTATAGTTTTTTCAGTTGTCCATCGATCCATCCATCCATCTGATTAACCCAAAAAATAATTTAAATTTCATATTCTTTAATATATTTTCATATATTTTACTGTATATGTATAGTTTTGTTCATACCTACATTTTCCTCATGACACTAAGATGTCAATTTGACTGTTCACCTTTAGCTTCTAGCTTGGTGTGAAAAATATACAGTATATTCGATGAATCTAGACTAAATATTATTTAAAAAATCAAATTATGATTAAAAGTAAGACTTAAATAATAATAATATTAATATATCTTATGTTCAAATATTAATTACTAGTTGCTCAGAAAAAGCAAAAAAAGCTTAAATGTATAAAATATTTTAATTATTCTCACAGACAACTAATCATAAGCAGATCAAAGTTAAGGAAAAAAGTAACCCAAAAATAAAAACTTACTGAAAGTTGGCCACAAAACATAACTAAACTAACAACTAAATTAAAAAAGCAAGGTTAGCCTAAAAGCGAATTAGCCAAGAGATAACTACAAGATGGGCCATTTATAGATAAATTATATGAACTTTTTGAACAAACTCTTTACTGTTTCTATAAGTCTATACATGTATTTCTAAATGGACCATTCTTTATTTAATTTAGCTGAAATAAGTTTTTCAAATGAACTAGTTGTAGGCTAATGTTTAGCTCAGGAATATCTAAAGTCAAATCTGTGGTAGCTATTTGCTGTAAGTGTGACCAGGGAAAATTATGAATTAATTGTCCTGTGATTTATTAGCATAAATGAGCTGCTGTTGCCCAATCAGTTATCATGACCTCAGAGCGGACATCCAATCAGCCACAAATGAGATAAGGGATGAATTAAAAAGCGAAGAGTTGAGTCGAAGCAGGAGCGATGTGACTCATGCACGTACAGTGTTGCCTCGTCAGCTCACCTCATGCTTTCTTGATAACAAGACTGTGAACGCTCAGGGTTAGCGGTTAAGTCCTCTTCTATTCCAGATTCTTCCGTGCTGCATCTGCTGTTCCTTCTACGTGTTGGAAAAGAGAAAAGAACAAGTGGACCTTATTATCACATCAATTAGAAGCTGTGTTTCAGCAGCCTCAGTGAGAGCAGAGACCCTGGGAGAGCGTCCCTGCTGCTCCACTTTGATGGGGGTTAATATTGCATACAGTCCCAACTTAAATCCCTTCACTTTAAATTTGACTTTCTTTTACTCCCCTTTCTCTGATTGATAATCTTGGCTTGTCCATGTGTGAGAGATCCCTTACTATAGCTATATCTATACTATATCTCCCTACTTTGATCATTAAAAGTTGAAAGGATATATGGGAAAAGAGGCTGATAAAGTGATTTCTGTGACAGTGGGTCGATGAAATAGCACTGCTTTAAGACATCCTGATTGTCTTAGAAGAGCTGTGCTCTTAATAGTGATGTCCCATATGACTGATGCAATATCTCCACACTTGGTGTAACAACCGACGAGGCTCCAATGTAAACGGGGCCTGGAAAAATAGCTCAATCCATTAAATGGCCCAAAATGTTTTGGCTGATGAAAATGTAGATATGGCGAGTGCGCAACGTCAGCTCAGGATTTCAGCAAATTGCACTTTGCAGAAGTTTTGAATCCGGTGTTTATTGTGATTGAGAAATCAATTTCTCAAAAAGGATGTACTTTGTAAAAATACAAAATGCAATAAACTAGAGTCTATATTTGTTAGAATTAAGAACATGGTAACATCCTGCACTCTTTACTGAATTAAGAAACGTATAAGAATGTTTTGCAACAAACTGAGATGTAGTTAAAGGAGAGACGTGAGCAGTGTCACCTTCCTTCTTGCTTTAATTATTTCACTTTTCAATCATTTTTGAGCTAAGGAAACTGTTGTTACAGTTTTTAAGGTGGACTTTTTCCGCAGTACTAAAAGCCTTGAGCTGCTCTGTCTGGTCACTGTGGGCTGATTCTCCCCTCAATTGTAGTCACATATTTTTAATTTTTAGTAGCCAGACCAGCACACATGCAAAGTCACACATTATGATGACATTGAGTTTGTGTGAAAACACTGTCTTTAGGATGTGTTTTTATTTTATTTTTTTGCAGTTCCTTAAGTGTATCCACTTTTATGGCACCAACTTTCCCATCTTTCCAACTTTACATTTTACTGGTGAATCGTGACTGATTTTTAACATCTGTGGCTCCAACTTCTTATAAAAAGCCACTTCAGTCAGTTGGTGCCAGCACTGAAGAAAGATCCAATTGGGTTCTAGACAAACACACACACATACACACACAAGTACAAGTCTCATGAGTGGATGAAAGCTGCAGGAGAAAAGTTTGTGCAGCAAAGCAGGGAATTTCCTCCTCTTTTCGAGTTTGAAGAGCTGTGTGTGTGTGTGTATGTCTATATATGTGTGTGTGTATATATATATATATATACATATATATATGTATATATATGTGTGTGGTTCTATATCTTGCCTTCCTTGTCAAGGAGCTCCCCTGAGCCTCCCTCACTGTGCTTTGGTACTAGAAGTCACCTCCTTTGGTGTTGAGCAGACAGGTACACAATAGGAGCAGCTCTCTCTCTCTCTCTCTCTGAGCTGTTGAACTTTTTGGGAGGGGAAGAAAGGGAAGGGGAAGATTAAAAAGAGCCCTGTGATGTGGAGTGCTTAGCCGCCTCCTGAGGATTCCTGGCATAATAATTTAAATGATCAAATGATACAGAGGAGACTTGTTAGCTGAGAAACAGCCTCCTAGTTGGCCCCATGGGCCCCGGTGCTGCCGCGCATACATTGCAAAACAGCTCCTCTGTTGTGTTAAAGAATCCTGACCTTCTTCTTTTTTGCTCCCTTTTTTTCGAGATGAAGAGAAGTCTTTTTCTACTCTTTGCTTAGGTGTATATACCTGGGAGTTGAGAATGCGTCACATGTTCATTGCAGTCTTTTTGTCTTCCTTCGCATTCATCAGCACGTTAGCAGACTCATTAGATGTGATTTCTGTACATGTGAGGGGTCACAACAGCACTTGTGTCAGTGGATCCAGCCTGTGAACATTTTTCAAGTCTTAGAGTCACTCTTTGGAAACAGTCTTGGTGGAATAGAATCGTCTGCCTGTGTTGAAACTGCGGTGCAGAAAAACTCTGTAAAGTGCTTCACAGGCAGCACAAGTGTCTGGATGTCGTGTGGATCGCAGTAGTTTTTCTTTCTCTTTAGAGATTTGTTTGTCTTGTGTTTTTATGTTACAGACCCAGCTCCTGTGCTGGAGGCCTCCCACACCCTGGAGGAAAGGCTGCAGCATCTTCACAGTTCAGCCCCAGAAGGTGAGGCCCTAGTACGAGAGATCAGCAGGCACTGGAAGAAACACCTGGAGTGCCTTAAAAAGACAGGTCAGGCTGACACTGTGCACTGTAGACACACACTCCTCTGAAGTGCTCATGTTATTTTAATGCAGACAACTACACCGTTACTCGACCATGAATGTCATCAATAATTTGAAGATTCTGCTACGATGTGAGTGAAACATTTGGACTTGAGTAGGCTTAACTGGAACGTTTCTCTAATGTCCTGGCCTTTACTTAAACTCTGGGGGATAAATAAACCTTCGTCTCTGACTTGGACTCATTCGTGAAAGGCTGGCGAGAGTTAATCTTAAAGACTTGACATGTCACAGCTTGACGCAGACTCAGTTTGACCCTCTGCTGTCAATCATGTGGTCTTCAGGCTTGCTGTGTGATCTGGAGGAAAAGTTTTGTTGGATACATTTTCAAAATGTCTTGTTCCACAGAGCCCACTGAGGAGGGCCCAGCAGTGACCAGTAAGGACCCACGTTCCAGTTCTCCAGCCTCTCTGATGACCCCTAACAATACACCAGTTCCTGGGGGCCCAGGCTCCCCACAACCCAAATACCAGGACCAAGCAGAGAACCGAGGGTGAGAACCAGTAATTGGGGCTGGACTTTTCTGTTCAAATAGACACATTTTCAGTTAATCTTGTTTATTTCATCTATGAATTTGTATTGAATGAATTGTGTATGTTAAATGTGTGGACGTCTCCCTCTTTTTCAGGGAGGAGGAGGAGAAGGAGGAGGGCACTGATGTGTGTTTGGCTGATAGACTATCAGAGGCCGAGGAGAAGATCAAGGTCCTTCATTCCTGTGAGTGGTTTAAACACTGACCCCAACTCTGTATCTCTGTTATATTTCAATGAAGTCCATTCAAATGCCAAGACATATGTACTTGTGATTTTTTTTTTCATAATAAAATCATTGTAATGTACAGTAAACAGTTGATGAGAATATGCTTTGGGTTTTGTGATTCTGTCCTAAAGTTGATATTTTTCTTGTACTCCAGCTTTGGACACTGCACAGACTGAGCTGCTGGACCTGTGGTGTAAATACAACAAGGAGATGACCAAGAAGTAAGAATCTCCTTCTTCTTTTATAGTTTGATCTGAGTGTAACCAATTTTTAGTTAAAAATAAATAAAGAAAAAAGAGGAAAACAGAACATAAAATTACATACATAAATTGCACCAGCAATCCATTTTACAAGTAACTATTTTTTTAACAAGGATGTATGAAAGGAACCTGAATATCTCTGTCAGCTAAATGTAATTTTAGTACATGGACGTGGTCCATACACTATAGTATGTGAACACTAGAATGCAATGTTGTATTATATTTGGTTGAATACATCTGCTTTTGGAGGTATTTTCCTGTGTTGTCATTGTCAAAGCTCGGCTTGTCTCTTTATATGGCCTCAGTGTCTGCTTTTTAAATGCAGCCACACTTCAGACTGCTTCTCCCTTGATGTCACAACGAGAATGTCCTGCAATGTCATCACACAAATGATTCCAAAAATTGAATCCATTGATGACCAGTTCTTGTAGAGAACTGATTGTCATTTCAGTCCCTAATTTAGATGTTGTTGATTGAACCCTCTGCTAGAGAGATGAAAAGGTGTGCTCTGTGTTTACCAACGCTTACCCAAACTTCATATACAAACTGAGAGCAAGGATGTTTTATTAGCCCTGCATCGAGCCTGTGCCTTATTGCTGGTCTTGAAGTGGACCTTCCAGCTCCTCCTCCAGTGCTGCAATTGCCCATCTTGGATTCGCTCCTCTTAAGTCTAATCAGGTGAATGGTAGATCTGAGAAACGCCACAGTGAAGGCAGTTAGAAAGAGTTACTCAGCCTCTGATGCAGGTCGATGAGAGAGGTCTGTGTTTGCCTTCACTGGCAGCTGGGCCTTGACAGCCCTCAAGAAGAATTGTTCCATTTAAAGATTGCTTCAGAAAACACTCTACCTTGTCCTAGTCTTTGAGCGCAACATATCCACCATGTGCCTGAAATGAATCCAAGTTTGTATGAAGGATGTCGATAGACATTCAAAGCAAACACTCCTTTGTTTGGGAGTGGCTGCTGCTAATGGATTTTTCTCCCAGGCTTAATCCATGCTGTAATTGAACTGATGTTTCTGGACCCACTGCCATCCATTTTGTTGAGCAGGACACCTTTTCTATTTGGGCCTACGTCTCGCGTGAGGCAGCGGTGGCTGTGAAAGAGCATTTCTGCTGTAGTTTGTCATTTAGCATTGCTCACCTGGCTGACAGTAGGGTCACTGACCCCACAGCTCCAGCCTCAATTATCCGTCCCTGACCCTGAGCCTCGCAATGGCAGCTTCTCTCTATTACTCTCACTGACTGGTTTCCTCAATGTTGATAAGAAAGACTTTTTGTCTGCTGAGCAGGTAATCAATACAAAACATTTTCCGTACTGCACAAGTTCATTAAACGTGGAGCTTACACCTAGTTAGTGTTTGCTTGTCAGTGGACGCCATATTTCCTGCTCTTATTGATAGAACCAGGCTGTGAATGAGACCCTCTGAAACCAGAGCTGCACCAAACAGTACTGATGGTGATAATCAAGGGCAGCAACAGTTTTAGTCCCAGTCAAAATCTGAATGAGGAGAATATGTATATTTAAAAAATATTAATTGCCAAAAATGGTTTATAGTAGGTCCAAGAAATGTGTGAACATAAACAGTTATGAAAAGATAACTAAATTATTTAAAACATTTTGAGTTTGATGTGATGTCTGAATACACAACATACCTATAAGTTTGTTAATAGAAAAATGCTAGGTTTCAGCCCGCATATTTTTATCTCACAAACATGTAAATTAATCACAAAGATATGTGCATATTTAAATAAATCACAGCTGCCTCATTAAATCATTCTAATCTACCTTTACTTAAAAAATGCAGTCCCGAGTGGCAAATGGAACTGTTGAACTTCAGGAGTAACTATAGTTAGTGCTTCACTGGTCAACAAATGGTTGGCTGATTGACACAATGCCGTTTTCACACTAAAACATGAATCCACTTCCGTGTTAGTGAATTCACGCCATTCCTGTTTTTGTTCACATTCAGAAGGGGATGGTGTGTATGCTAACTTTCGTAAAGATTTTTGACACTTTGTCATGAGATCAACACAACAAGAATGAACAAGCTATTTAAGGTTTTTGTGCACACATATGCAGAGTGAAAACCACATTGATTGATGTCTCCTGTATTAGTTCATTCTGGATCGAAACCCCAAACTAGTGTCACTGCACAGTGAATAATGTGAAATCAGAAAAATTGCGGTGAGATTTGCGATGTGGGGTTAATTTATTTGCCCAGGAACACATTGGCATGCAGACCGGTGGAGCCAGGATCGAACAACCATCTAACCTTTTTAAAGCTGACTCAGTCCATGAACCTTCGTGGCTTCAAGCCTTCAGTCTTTTGTGAACCGTGAATAAAGTGTTATGACTAGTTTCTATTTTTGGCTGAATGATGTCGTGTGTGTTTGCATGTATTCCAGGGAGACAGAGCTTGACACCATTATGGCGAGTCTGGAGAAAGCCAACCAGGTGAGTACATTCGATAGTACTGATTGAGTTGTAATCACTCCTGCAATCAAGGCCCGTCTTTAATTAGACCCTCTCCGTCCTGCACCCCTCCTTTGCCTGCCTCCCTCATCTGAGCATGTGATTAGCAAATATAAACCTGTTCTAACCCCCCTGTACTCCTGCACCCCGACAGTGGTCACACTAGAGCAGCAGGGCTCCACTCTGCTGAGAACACACTACAGAGCTGGATTGATGCCGGCCTAGAACTCTGAGGTTCTTAGTTACCTCATTGCCTAGATTGGTTCTTGTCCCAGTGATACCTCTCTCCTCCCCTGCTCCCTGCTTCTCCCCCATTCTCCTCTGCTATCCGCTCTCCTGTTGCTGCTCTTTGCCAGCAGCTACTAGACAAATGTCATCAAATTTAATCATTAGTTAGAGCCGGTGTGACAGACCAGGTAAACAGTTTTTGGAATAAAGTGGGCCGAGGAAGCAGCACTCTCAGCAGAATAAACTGGTGACTGCTCTTGTCTGCTCACGTCCCTGCTCGTTTTTGGTGCTCAGCGCTAACATTTTATAGTAAGGGCGCCTCCTTTTGATTTATGTAGAGCTCCCTCATCTTGATCATCTTGTTAGCCCGTTGAAGTGCTTGGTGTTTGGGATTTTAAAGACTGTGATGTGATGTGATGATGTGCACAGAGAGCAGAACTGGCTCAGAAGGAGGTGAAGAGGCTAAAGGAGCAGATAGCCAAAGGTCAGAATGCCACCACAGGCAACTCTCATCCAGCAGAGGGCACCAGCAGGGTACGGTTGTAATGAAAGTGACAGTTTCATTGATGTTCTTGAACACAGCAGTAAAAATCACTTTGAATAAATTATATTTCACAGAGTTTTTGTACAAGGACTTTGAAAAATCGTCATGAAATTTTGACCAACACATCTACAAACCGGTGGTTGGGCGTCAGATCTCTGTTATAATTGGCTCTGTCGTCAAAAGTTGTTAACAGATCCAGTGACATGAATTAAAATAGTGTTTCTAAAGTTAATTCTTCTCATCCCTTTGTCTAATTAACAGCAGCAGGATGTGAGTCACTGACTGTCCTCTAACATTGTCTCACCTCCTCACACTTTTTCTCACCCTGACAGGAGAAGAAGGAGAAAGGCGAGATGTTGCCCTCACAGTTGGAGGCTGTCCTGCTGGCCAAGGACCGTGAAATCCTCCGTCTCCTAGAAAACATTCAGCGGCTGCAGTTCACGCTGCAGGAGGTCCAGGAGACGTCGTCCAATCAAATCCTGGAGCTGGAGCGCCAGTTGGCGTACAAGAAAGAAGCGATCGAGGTGAGAGACTGTGACATGTGAGCAATGACAGAATGTGCTGAAGTTGAACTTTTCATCCAGCTCTCACTGTGACAGTTAACGCTTATTATTTCTGATTTATTTTCCATTTCAGAGATTAGAGGCTAAACTGCAATCCCAGATTGACTATGAAGAGATTAAAACTGAGCTCAGGTGATATTTTTGGTGCAGGCAAAATGTCAAAGTCATTCATAACAATGTGTAATAAAATGGTGTTGCATTGACTCTGCCTCTGTCTGTTTCTGTTCACAGTATCCTTAAGGTAATGAAGATGGCTTCAGATAATGGAGGCTCATCACAGGTATATATACATTGTCCCAAAGGGGTCGGGGGGGGGGGGGGGGGAAATTAATTTTGAAGTAATTAATCTTGACAAATGGACACCCTTGAATTGTTAACCTTGCCATGTTATTTTTTGTAACATAGGATCACTTGTCTCTCCCCTTTTCTTCGTTTTCTTCGTCGAACGTTGTTGATAAAACTTTGGTAAAAATGAGTTAAATATTTTAAACACATTTTCACATAATCACAAATCACATTTTTTAGTTAAATAGGGCACAATTTGGATTTTTTTCATGTTTTAATTCGAATATTAGTATTGTAGTATTAGTATGTATTTGATTTTCTGAATTCTTGCCAATTATTGCTTTGGGAAGCACTGTTTGATACAAATAACGTTTTCACGCTGGCTTTTCTTAAAAAAAGTAAAAAGTATTATTTTAATAGAAAACACATTGATGTGACGCTTTGGCCCAGAGGCAATGTCAGTGATGTGCAACCCCAGGGTTCACCTCCTGGGCAACATCGAATCCCGGTTAGGGTGGTTGGTACCTTCCAGTGGACTCACCACCCGCAGGAAGGTTCACGAGGGTCTGGTACGGTGCAGTGTGATTTGGGTGGCGACTGCTTCCCCCGTGACCCGGTAATGGATAAGCGGATGAAAATGGATGGATGGATGGATGGATGGAAAACACATTGTCTAATTGTAGGGAGGAAAATATAGGTGCTCTAAAATTTACTAGGAAATATTTCCTTTCTGCAGAAAATTAGAAAATATTTCTCCATCATCTGAACCAATGACTTACTGATGGTCATCTTTTGTGCTTGTGTAAAGGAGTCTGCCAAGGCTATGGAGGCTCTCCTGGATAAAGAGGCGTTTCTCCCTTCTCACAGTATACCTGGTATACAATACCTGGTGGATAAGGCTCAACTTTTGCACAGCACTGGTAAAAAAAAAGAACAAACTCTTTTCTGCTTTATTTTCTTTCTCCTACTCTTTATATATATATA